TCTTTGTTGTCATGGGGATGGTGGGGAGGCATCTGGCCAGCAGGTAAGGCCCCACTGGGGCTCCTGTACCCCATGCTGGACTAACTGGGTTTGAGTCCTGCCTTTGCTTCTGATCCCAGCTTCCTACTGAAGTGCACCCTGCAGGGACTCGGAACTTGAACCACCATCTACACTCCTTGGTGCACTGTAGAAAACTGGAAGCAGAGGCTAAGATGAGACTTGATCCCAGACACAGCAACATAGGATGCAGGCACCCCAAGGCACAGCTTAGCCCACTGCACCACAGCGCCTGCCCCTCACCCTCCGGGTTTGGGTCCTGGTCCCACTTCCAATCTCAGCTTCCTGCCAGTGTGCATCCTGATAGGCTGCAGGTCATGACCCAATGCTTGGGTCCCTGCCACCCACGTGGGAGATCCAGATTGAGTTCCAGGCTCCTGGCTTTGGCCCTAACTGTTGCGAGCCTTGAGGGAGTGAACCAGAAGATGGAAGAACTCTGCATCTTTCTGCCTTTCAAATTGAAAACATAAAAAGTTAAAAAAATAATAAGTTCTTAATTTTTGCACACGAGGCCCTATTTTTTCCTTTTGCACTGGTCCTGACTGGGGTGGCTGCCACAACATCAGAACCTTTGTGGGTGGCCTGGGCTTTTCACAGCACGATGGCTGGACTACAAGTGTGAGAGTTTTGAGAGAGAGAGAGAGAGAGAGAACGCCAGGTGGAAGTAGCACCACCTTTTGTGGCCTAGCCCAGCTCCTCCTTTTCACGGAGAGTGGCAAGGCCACAGTGTAGGGAGAGCAGGGCGAATGGGAGACGTTGTCAGTGCTTTGGGTTTGCCACCTGCTGTCCTGAACAGGTCAAATTCCTCACCTGGTCTGCACAAGGGCCCAGGAAACCCAGTTTTGCCTCCTCGGTTGGGACTTTTGAACCCTGCTGGGAAAGGACCAAGAAGAGTCGAGAACTCCACGCTCCCAGCCCCGCTCCTGGGTCATTTCCCTGGGCACTCTCGGGGATTAGAACCATCAGCAGGGGGCCCGGAGCCTAACCCAGGAGCCCGACCCTGGAGGCTGAGAACTCCCAGGGACTCAGCGCCAGACATCTGTTTCTCCTGCTGCATCTCCGCTTGGCTACCGATTCCTCCTCCTTTGTTTCTCCCTGGGGCATATTGCTGTCTTTCTCATTAACTTCCCTCCAGTTCCCAGCACGGTCCCCAGGCTCTGGGCGCTGCTAATTCCCTGTAATCCACTGGCACACCAGGCAGCTAATTAAACGTGTGTGGCATGTTCTCTCCAGCAGGCAGGCTCGGCGTCTTCCTGCTCTGTAGCCTGTCTCCCCCGTTTCTTTTCCCTTCTTAGGGCCCTGTGCGGTTCTGAGCTCTCTGGACGCCGCCCAGCTGTCCCCGACATCTGCCTGCCTCTCTTCTGGGCACACCTTTGCCTGCAGCTGCCGATGAGAGCTCCATAGCTCTGAATCAGAGTCTCATGCCTCACCGCCATAATTCTGTTCACACCCCCTTCCTTCGTGAACTTGGCCCCGCACAGATCCCTCCCCCAGCCCCCTCTATGCCACCTCCACACCTTTGTTCACCTTCTTACCTCTGCATCTCACCCCCTCACTCTGCCATCTCCACCTCCCTCTCACCTTGTCACAGTCCCTGCCATTATTTAGAACTCCTCTCCGCCGTGACACTTCCCCCATCCCCCAACCCCCATGGGGAATTCTCCCTCCCTGAGCTCCCATAGCGCTTTGCAGCTCCCTCCTAGCGCTGATCTCCCATCTGTTATGGTTCTGCTGCCCTTGTTAAATTAGATCTTTGAGTACAGGGTCTAGGTCCTCCCAAGTGCCTACGTCACAGTGCACCTTCCAACACTTCATTGTCTCCTGGCCCAAGGTGGCCTTCATGTCCACATCCCAAGAAGAGGGAGGAGATGAGGAAGAATAAAAAGAATGGGCCTAGGGCCAGTGCTGTGGCATAGTGGGTAAAGCCGCTGCCTGCAGTGCCAGCATCCCAGTTGGGCACCGGTTCAACTCCCAGCTGCTCCACTTCCAATCCAGCCCTCTGCTATGGCCTGGAAAAGCAGTAGAAGATGGCCCAAGTGCTTGGGCCCCTGAACCTGTATGGGAGACCTGGAAGAAACTCCTGGCTCCTGGCTTTGGATTGGTGCAGATCCAGCTGTTGTGGCCAACTGGGGAGTGAACCAATGGATGGAAGGCCACTCTCTCTCTCTGCCTCTCATTCTCTCTCTGTGTAACTCTGACCTTCAAGTAAATAAATAAAATCTTTAAAAAAAAAAAAAAAAGTGGGCCTGCCAGTCAAGTCGGCCGCCTTCTAGCACTTCCTCTCCCGGTGCTTTCTGCAGACATCTCGATGACCACGCTTAGCCACAGGAGAACCTGAGTACACGGCTCCCTTCAGCAGGTCACCCCTTACTTTACGGATGAAAAAGAAAAGGCCCAGAAAGTTGTCAGAGAGAAGCAGGATGTAGGCCTAGAGGTTAAGGTCTGGGGTTTGGAAATAGAATGACCTGGTTTGAATCCAACCCCTGCAGTAACCTTTACTCCTCATTTGTTTTGTTGTATTTATTTTATTTGAAAGTCAGAGTTACACACACACACACACACAGAATCTTCCATCCACACTGTTCCTTTCCCCAGATGGCTGCAATGGCTGGGGCTGGGCCAGGCCAGTCAGGAACTTCATCTGCATCTCCTACATGGGTTGGAGGGGTCCAAACACTTAGGCCATCTTCTGCAGCTTTCCCCAGGCCATTAGCAAGGAGCTGGATCAGAAGCGAAGCAACTGGGACACGAACAGGCGCCCATATGGGATGCTGGTGCTGCAGTCAGCAACTTTTCCTGCTGCGCCACAGCGCTGGGCTGTACTCCTCATTTGTGAAATTGGGCTAGTGATACCTACTCCCACTCGGGGGGTAAGAAAATTAAATAGAGGAATAGAGCACGCAACACGGCCAGGTGCGTTGTTCATGGTCCTAGTTTGGCTCTTCCTAAGAGCAGACCGTGACGCAAGGATCTGGGTGCCAGTGGCAACCCCAAGGAGCAGGGTGAGGGAATGGGGAAGTGAGGCAAGGCAGGCAGGAAAGAAAACAGAGCATCCGGACGGGAATGGATTTGCACACTGGAAAAATGTACTCAACTCTGCCCTAGCTTCTGTCAGCCTGTACAAGCCTCTCCGCTGGGAATCAGAGGTGTCCACGGCAGGGCCAGGAAGCTGTGGTCCTCATCCATCGCCTTCAGTGCTCTGGCCTGCCCCACACCTACTGCCATGGCCCTTGGGAGGGACACACAGGAAGCACACTCAGGTGCAGGTGCCCTCCAGCCAGGCCTGGCCTGTGGGCGGGGCACAGACAGCAGTAATAAGACACCTGCTCTTCGAATGCATGCGCTCTTGTGGTCACACAGCAAAGTAGGAGCTGCAACCTAGCCTCTCTCCTTCTTCTTTGCATCCTACCCTCTCTGTGAACTCCGTGGCCACCGCGCCCTCACTTCCCTGCAGTGCACCCCGGTTCTCCCTCCTCAGTTCCCCCTCCACACCCTCCGGCTCCTGGCATCATCTTTCTCAGTTCCTTTTCCCATCCCAATACCCCTGAGGCAAGTCTTGCTGCCCCTGCCCTGGCCACCCCCAGGGAAAGTGTCAAAGGGCTTCCAGCCAGAGCCACGCCCCATCTGGGACTTCACCCGCTGACCTTCTCCCCTCCCCTCCCCTCCCACCGGTGGGGTCACAGAAGGGGTAAGATGCCCTAGGGAGGGTTGTGGCTGCATCCCCGCCTTTCCCTGTCTTATGCCTCCCTGCAGACCTGTGGCGCACGCTTTCCAAGCTGGTGAAGGGGATAGGTGTGACCTAACAAGGGCTGGACAGAAGCCTCGCCCTGTGACTCCCAATATCCACGTTATCCAGCCGGGAACGCCTCCACCAGTGCTTTACAGTCATTTCTTTTTCTTTCTTTAAGATTTATTTGAAAGTCAGGGAGAGAGAGAGAGAGAACTTCTGTGAGCTGATCACCTCCCCAGATGGCCGCAATGGCCAGTGCTGGGCCAGGCCAAAGTCAGGAGCCTGGAACTCCATCTGGGTCTCCCATGTGGGTGCCAGGGGCCCAGGCACTTAGGTCATCTTCCTTTGCTTTTCCCAGGCCATTAGCAGGGAGCTGGATTGGAAGCAGAGCAGTCGGGACCCAAACCAAAGCCCTTATAGGATGCTGGCACTGCAGATGGGGGTCTTATCTGCTACACGACAATGCCGGCCCCTAGCAAGCCACAACGCTGACACCCACCCGCCCCGCAGGAACCTTTTTAAAAGTTTTAATTTTCATGTTATTGGAAATACACACACACATACACAGAGGAAAAAGAGGCAGAGAGAGTGACATAGGCAGCAACAGAGAAAGTCAAAGATCTTCCATCTGCTGGTTCATGCCCCAGATACCAGCAACAGCCAGGGCCAGGTCAGGCTAAAGCCAGGAGGAGCCCAGGACTGAATCCAGGTCTCCCACACCGATGGCAGGGATCCAAGCACCGGAGCCACCACTGGCTGCCTCCCCTGGCCTACATTAGCAGGAAGCTGGAACTGGAAGCAGAGCTGGGACTCGAATCCATGCACTCCAGTATGGGATGTGGGCTCTGTCCCAACCGGTGCCTTAACCATTGGGCCAAGTGCCTGCCACCAGCAGGTATCTCTCCAGCAGGAAATTCAGTTCTGCCCACAAAGATTCTCCTCGCTCACGGCCCCTGCCAGGGCTGCAGACTTCGCCTTCTTCCAAGGCGGGATGGGCTTTTTCACACTCGGTGGGAAGGAAGGAAAACCAGGTCATTAAGTTCTCCCCGGGCTGGTGACATTGACCCCGTCCCCAAGGCCACTGAGGCTGGACAGGTGTCCCAGCCCAAATCTCACCTCCCACTTTCCTTGCCGCCTAGAGCCCGGCCGGGTCCAGTCCCCGGGTCCTGCTCCCATCACATTGGGGAGGAAGCTGGAACGCAGAGGGCCCTGGACCACCCTCAGTGTCCCCTCTGCTAACTTGTGTAGATGACGCCTGCTGTCCAGACCGGAGCAGGAGGCTCTGGGGAAGGGTCCGGCGCTCGGCGCACGCTCCGTGCGGTGGCCCCGCTCCCCCTGCTCGGCGCCCCTCCCGCTCACTTCTCTCCCCTCCTTTCCCCCTGCCCGTCTCTCCCCGGCCTCTCCTCCGCCTCCCCGCTCGCTGGACTCGCTCCGGAGCGGTCCTTCCCCTTCCCTCGCGCCTCTCCGCGCCCCGTGTCCCTGCCGCCGCCGCCGCCGCCGCCTCCTCGGGCCCCGGAGGAGCGACCCGAGCCCCCGCCGCCCCCGCCAGGCCCGGCGCCGCCGCAGCGCGGGCGGTCAGTGCGCAGCCCCGGCGCCCGGCCGGAGCGCGGAGCCCGCACCCGGATCGCGGGCTCGGACCGAAGCCGATCCGACCGCCGCCCCCAACCAGGTGAGCGCAGCTCCGGGGGAGGCGGGCGAACCCTCTTTACCGCAAGCGGGGGCGGCCGAAGGCGCGGAGAAATTGGGTCCTTTTTCTCCGAAAGGAGGATCTGGGAGGTTTTTCATGAAAGAGGCTCAAGGGCTTCCACTCCGAAGGGATGGAGGGAGGGAGGGTCTGGGGGAGACGGGGTCCGGGGCGAGCCTTTGTGGGGGACGTTTTCGCATGGAAAATGATTAATTGGCTTCTTGGACGAAAGCGGGGCTTATCTTCTGGAAAGGATGAGGGGCTTCGAGGCGGGGAGAGGGGGGTCTGGCGGGGCTCGGGGGGGCTAGCTGGGGAGTGGGCGCTGGGCAGGAGGGGGGGCTCGAGATGCCTGCAGTCCGACATCGCTGCACCTCCCCGGTTGGCTCCTGGGCTCTGGTCTGCCCAGCTCCCTGTGTCCCGGTTCTGTTCTCTTTGAAGATGACTATTTTGAGCCCCACCTGGACAGACCCAGGAATAGCCATTTCCTTCCCTGGGGCTCTGAGCCCCACAGGCGCCCCCATCTCTGATCTGCTCAGGGCAGGGGGTTGGTGGGAGGGATGGGGATCTGAGAAACAGGCAGTGTGGGGGGGAACCAGAGGCTGGGCACTGGGTACTGGTGGGCTGCAGCCAGCTTCGGGGGGGAGGTGGCTGGGGTGGGGTGGGCTGGGCAGGTGTCCCTGCTTGGAAAGCATCCGGGCCAGGAAGCATTGAGCTGTTCCCTGCTCCTAGAAGATGGAATGCTGGAGGCTTTTGTTTGCTTGCTTGCTTGCCTTTTTCTTCACCCATACTCCCCGGACTCATTCCCTAGCCTCCTCTCCTTTTTCTGCAAAAAAGGGAAAGTGAGGCAGAGGACAGGTTGGCTAGAGATACCTGTTCCTACAAGGGAAGAGTGGTAGAGAGCAAGGCACGGTGAATTTAGGGTTAAAAAAAAAAAACAAACTCAGTTCAAGGCTGGCCTCAGTGCTCGCTGGGTGACCTTGGACCAGAGCGCTTCCCTTGTTGGGCCTCAGCTTTCTCATCTGTGAAATGGGCCCACCTCCCTTGCAGGTTTGCAGAGACCAGATGCATCCAGAGGAGCTCTGTAAAAGGCACAATCCCGGACACCTGTGAGGTGCAGGCCTCGTTCTCCATGAGCCCCCGTCCCTCCCCACTGCCCGCACCAAGGGTACTGCTAACCCACTGGGCGTCTTCATGAGAATTAGAGAAAGCAGCTCCTCGGAAAGGAGACCTTGTGCAGCTGGACTAGTGACTTGGGGTCTTTATTCGGAGAGTCAGGAAGGCGTACTCCACCCCGGAACTACCTGCCCCGACAGCTGGGCAGGTGGACCGTGAGCTGGGTTCCAGCTCCCACAGCCCATCAGCTGCACCTGGCACTTCCTCTTGGTGGGCCCCGGCGTCTCCGGGAGACACAACAACACTGCACACTCTTGGTGCGTCTTCTAGAGGATTCCACGTTGCAGGCCGGCTCCACTTCAGCGCTATAAGCTGCTTGAGCCCCGGTGCAGCAGGGGGCACACTGGGGTCCCCATCAGGGGCTCCCCGGCATTAGGCGGTGCCTTCCCGAGCTCTCAGGGCTAAGGGCCTCTGCATCCCTCACCTCACACTTCCCTGGACCCCACTGCCTTTTTCAGGGCCGAGCAATGTCACGCACCAACCAGGTTCTCATCTGCCACCTCAGCATCCTCACTGAGCCCGAGAGGCGGGTCTCTGCCCAGAGAAGTTAAGCAACTTGCCGAAATTTGCAGAGCTTGTGAGGCAGCCAGCCAGGCGGGAGCTGAGCCGGGGGCCAGCCGTCTGTCCTCTCCACTCCGCCACGACTGGCATACACAGCTGCCGGCATTTTGCTAGCCATCTCTCCCCAACAGTCCCTGGCTCTCTCCTGTCTGAGCAGAGGAAAACGAGTCTCCTTCTTTTTGACTCCGATTCTCGCGGGAGGAAGTAACCTCAAGGCCCAAGTGGACTGGCCTCCCCAGCGCGGGAAAAGCCCTAGGCGGCCCAGACAGAGGTCTGGTAGCGGAGCTGACTGTGGGCGGGGGAGGTGTGGGGTTTGGTCAGAGGCTGGGCACAGGGTCAGGGGCAAACTTGCTGTCCAGATGTGGGCTGGAACAGAAACGGTCAGGGAGGACATCCACACAGAGGGCCGGTGCCTGCACGAGCCATCGGAAAGTGTCAGCAACGAGGGCCCCCTGAACACCAGGGCCCGTGGGGTGCCACCGGGAGGGGGAGGGGTGAGTCTGCCCTACAGGACTGTAGGCCCCTTAAAATCCAGGTGGTTCTCAAAGGATGGTCCCTAGACCCACAGCAACCTGTCAGAAACGCAAATCATCAGGTCCCATCCTTGGCCAACTTGTCCCTGGGGCACTGAGGCCCGCTCAAGTCCAGGCCAAGTGTGTAGGAAGATGTAGCCGTGGGCCATGGGCCGGGCTGGAAGGGCCCCGCACCCCATGCCAGAGGGCCGCCCATTCATGCTGCGTCTCCCCTCGCAGGTGCCATGCTGCCGCTCCTGCTGGGCCTGCTGGGCCCGGCCGCCTGCTTGGCCCTGGGCCCGGCCGCGGGCTCCTCGGAGCTGCGCTCCGCCTTCTCGGCTGCCCGTACCACCCCGCTGGAGGGCACGTCGGAGATGGCCGTGACCTTCGACAAGGTGTACGTGAACATCGGCGGCGACTTCGACGCGGCCACGGGCCAGTTCCGCTGCCGCGTGCCGGGAGCCTACTTCTTCAGCTTCACGCTGGGCAAGCTGCCGCGCAAGACGCTGTCGGTGAAGCTGATGAAGAACCGCGACGAGGTGCAGGCCATGATTTACGACGACGGCGCGTCGCGGCGCCGCGAGATGCAGAGCCAGAGCGTGATGCTGGCGCTACGGCGCGGCGACGCCGTCTGGCTGCTCAGCCACGACCACGACGGCTACGGCGCCTACAGCAACCACGGCAAGTACATCACCTTCTCCGGCTTCCTGGTGTACCCCGATCTCGCCGCCACCGGCCCGCCGGGCCTCGGGCCCTCGGAGCTCTGAGCCCCACCCCGGGAGGGGGGCAGTGCGAGCCCTAGCGTGGCCGCCCCGCCCAGCGCGTTGCGACTCCGCCAATAAAGTGCACCTGCGCCTGCGGCTCCGGAGCTGTGTCCTGACTGCCATGTGATGGGGGGGGCGGGGGGAGGGTAGCGGCTGCTGCAGCCCCCGGGGGCGCAACGTGGGAAGAGGCTGGAGGTCAGGGGGTAGGATTCCGCCAGGCCCTGGTAGGGGAGGGGGTGGGAATTTGTCAGAGGCGCATTCCCTGGACCCGTCGTGGGTCCTCTTCCACGTCCCTGGCCCAGTGCTCCCTCCGTCTGACTCCTTCCGTTCTTAGAGCCTGGCTAATTCCTTATGGTGACAAAGGACAGCATCCTACTACCTCTGCCCCGGGCCCGAGAGCCCAGATGACAGTCCACTCCTCCTTGCAAGTAGGGTGAGGCTACCTGGTTGCCCAGGCTCCTGCCTCCTTCCCTCCCCCTCCACCCCCCGCATAGGAGGGTGACTTGCTCAGGTCGAGAGTTAGAAAGAGGAGGACACAGGCTCCGGGGGCCAGAACAGGGCATTTTATGGAGGGGCCACAGACAAGCGGGCTACGTGTACCCCAGCTGCTCTCTCTCCATCCTCTCGAGACTTGCTTGTTGACATGGACCAAAAGACAGCCCTCTCCCCAAAGAGGTAGTGATCCTTTGCCCATTTCTCTCTGGTCCTCCAACAGACAGAATCCCCCCAATCCAGTCCATTCTCCCAACCCCGGTGGGGAGCTCAGAGGCTCAGGAACCCCAGAGCTTTGGCTGGGTTTTGAAGGGTCATCTAAATGAGGAGGGGGTCCCAGGGATGCCTCAAGACCTGGCACACACTGCCTGGGTGGGAGTTGGAGGGTGCGACCTGGCCCTACTTGGGGGCAGCTTCCCTTTCAGCATCTCAATCTACTTCTCAGCCTACATGTCCTGCCCCTTGCTCTGTGCCTGTCACCTGGGCTCTTAGCCTGTCAGGGTGCAGGGGACAAGACGGGGTGGGGACAAGCAGAGAGCTGCAGCAGAGGATGCAAGCCACACCCAGAGATCTGAACAAGGTGCCACATGGAAGCCCCTGCCGGGGATGGGTCTGGCACAGGTGGTGGTGGTGATGGGAGGTGGGGGAGGGGAATGGCAGGTGAAAGGGAAGGGTCAAGGGAAGGGGTCAAGGATGGAAGCCCAGGGCACCAGTGTTAGGGGCTGGCCCTGGGGGCAGAATCCCTTGCACAGGTCCCACAGTGTTTCCTGTGCCAGGAGGGCAAAGACCTGGGCCCAGCGACCCCTCTCCTCGGCCTCACTGGCTGCGTGGAGCCGGTAGACACAGGAGAGGCCCGTGAGGAGCAGCTGCTCAAAGTCCCAAGGGCTAAGAGGAGGCCCCTTCCGCAGGTCCTGGAGCTGCTGCAGCCGCTGCTCAGCACCCTCCAAGTCGCTGGGCACGCGGTGCTGCAGGAGGAGCCCGAGTCGGCGGCCGGGACGTGTGGACGCTAGTTCCTCATCCTGGATGCGCAGCTGCCCCATGACATCCAGCTCCAGCCCGGCCCAGAGCAGCTGCAAGGGGAACCGTGTGAGGGGTGGGGCTGTGGCCTGGGGAGCAGGGCGGGGGGCACAAGCAGGCAGTAGTAGGACCCATCCTGGGTTACCCTCCCGACCCCAGCAGACCCACTCAGAGACATCCCCCTCCCCAACCCTGAGCTTAGGGACTTCTGGACACTCCTACCCCCAGGACCCAGGCTGCGAGGAGTGAATGACCTCAAACATCACTTCCGGGGCCGCTGGCTCCTGCAGACCACCTCCCATGCTGGTGCTGTCCGGGGGCTGCCCTGGGGCAGCAGAGAGAAGTCAGGCCTCAGCCACACTCCACCTAGAACACCCCAGCCTCCTAGCAGCTGCCTGGTGGGGGGCCCTCCTGGCTCTTCCATCTGGCAAAGGGCAGGAATGCCATCCCCTGCCCCTCCCCCATGCACAGACACGCATGTGGCTGGCCGTTCAGCCTCCCAGGCTTGGGTCTTGTGATCTCCAGAGTGTCACACCAAGCCCAGTTACCATCTCGGCAAATACCCAGGACTCCTCCTTCAACTTGCACAATGCCCTTGGTAAAGAGCTCCTGGCCAACGGGTCACAAGACCCTGCCCCTGCCTCCCCCCCCCCACACACAACTTTCTGGTGACAGTGTGACCCAAAACAGTGTCAGAGGCCCCAAAGGCAGGGACCTCTCCAGGAAGTGCCTCCTCTTTCAGTTGTGTGCACAGCTGGGAGGCTCAGGCAGGGCAGAGTGTCGGTGGCACCTTCTGCCACCCCAGCCCTTGCAACGATTGTCCCAAGCCCAGGACAGGTCAAGAGACTGCCTGGGACATCAGCTGGATAAGCCAAAGCCTCAACTCTGTAGCCAATGTTCAGGGTACAAAGAGCTATTCCCCTAGGCTGCATCACCTGCACTTCTAGTTTGGGGCATGGGCCCCCACCATCACCCACCACAGCACACATCAGCCTAGCAGCCCACAGTTCTTGTGCCCTCAAATAGAGCCGACTGTAACTGCTGCCGGCAGTGGCCTGCCTTTGCTCCTAGCCACCCACCATGAAGCCCAGGTACCTGTGTGTTGTGGGGTTGTAGCCACCCCGGGGAGAAGGAGACAGATGGCTACCACTGGGTAAACCAGGAACTGCTGCACCTCAGCCATCGCCCACCACGTCCTGAGTCCGCTTTCCTCTGCCCACCACCCCGCCACGCCTCCAGCTTTCCACCGCCGCCTGCCCCGGCGTTGCACTGTGTGCCTTCAGTGCTGAACAGGGAGGAGCTGGCTGTGGCCTCCGTCCCTCTTTCCATCACTTAGGAATGAGAACTCTTTGGTTGTTGGCAGCAGTAGCCTGTTCCTGCCCAGATGGGCAGGATGCTTAGTCAATAGGAAAAGGGAGTTTGGTAGCCAACAGCTCCAGCTTGGCCCTCTCAAGGAACAGAAAGATTTCGGCCAATAACACTACCCTACTGTCTGTCCTCACCCTCAAAATATCCTGTAACTGAGGCCGGCCCCCCAACACCCTGTCTAGCTCCGCCTAGCCTCCAGGGAGCCCCTCAGCCGCTAAGAGCATCAGCTGCAAAGCCTCAGCCTCTAATCGCATGGCGAGCTAGCTGGGCGGCCCCCAGGAAGGCAGAGCCAAGAACTCCTCTTTTTTTTTTTTTTTTGACAGGCAGAGTAGACAGTGAGAGAGAGAGAGAGAGAAAGAGAAAGGTCTTCCTTTGCCGTTGGTTCACCCTCCAATGGCCGCCACGGCTGGCGCACCGCGCTGATCCGATGGCAGGAGCCAGGTACTTATCCTGGTCTCCCATGGGGTGCAGGGCCCAAGCACTTGGGCCATCCTCCACTGCACTCCCTGGCCACAGCAGAGAGCTGGCCTGGAAGAGGGGCAACCGGGACAGAATCCGGCGCCCCAACCGGGACTAGAACCTGGTGTGCCGGCGCTGCAAGGCGGAGGATTAGCCTAGTGAGCCATGGCGCCGGCCGAACTCCTGACTCTTGATACTCAGCCACGGGCCAACCTGACTCTGGACCAGCTGGGGCAGGGAGTGCTGTCTGCTGGGAAACAGCTAAACCTGCGGCTCCTGAGTTTTTTTTGCCCCAGCCTTGTTTCTCTTCTACTTGCCAGCAACATTCTCAGCTCAGGCCAGAAACCAGGAAGACTGCTTTACTCCCAGGTGGACTGCGTTGCGGTGCTGCGGGTTAAGCCACTACTCGGGACACAGGCATCCCGTAAGAGTGGTGGTTTGAATCCTGCTTGCTCTACTTCTCACCCAGCTCCTTGCTAATGCACCTGGAAAGCTAGTGAAAGACAGCTCAAGTACTTGGGCCCCTGCCATTCATGTGGAAGCCCAGGATGAAGTTCCTGGCTCCTGGCTCCTGGCTTCAGCCTGGTCCAGCCCTGGCTGTTGTGGCCATTTGGGGAGTGAAGCATAAGATGGAAGACCTATGTTTCTCCATCTCTCCCTCTCTCTTTGTAGCTCTGCCTTTCAAATAGATAAATAAAAATCAGAAGAAATTTTTAAAAAGTGACGGACTGTCAGGCAATAGGGAATAAGACACACGGTTCAAGATTCAAAAATTAAGGGGGCAGGTGTTTGGAAAAGCAGTTAAAGACACCACTTGGGACATCCTGTGTCTACATCCTATGCTGGTGCCTGCGTTCAAGTCCCAGCTTCACTTCTGAATGCAGGCTCCTGCTAATGAGCACCCTGGGAGGAGGCAGGTGATGGCTCAAATAGTTGAGTCCCTGCCACCAATGTGAGATCCCTGCCACCAATGTGAGATCTAGATGGAGTTCAGGGCTTCTGGCTTCTGCCGGGCCCAGCACTGGCTGTTGCAGGCAACTGGGAACTGAACCATCAGATGGAAGATCTTTCTATCTGTCCCTGTCTCTCTCTGCCTTTCAAATAAAGAACGATTAAAAAGTTAAAAAAAAAAAAAAAAACGTAATACAGGAAGTAGTGAGTCTAAGTAGGAATTTATTTACAAGGACACGCAATTGTAGACAAGTGCTTCCTGGGATCCTCATGCCGTCCCTGGGCTACTTGGCTTCAGGCTTCTTGTCTCCGGCTTCAAGCTTCAGACTCTCAGGAGGCTGGCGATAGGCAGGGAAAGCCTCCCAAGGGCTGTTCAGGTCGAACTTGCGGAATTCTTGGGCCAACTCCACCGGCTCAGCCACCACCCGCTTCACCTCATCGTCGTAGCGCAACTAGGGAACAGAGCGCAGGCTTGAGCACCAAGGCCTGCTTTCGCAAGGCCGCGGGCAAGTCTCCCAGCCCCATCCTCTGTCCTTCAGTCCTGTCCCAGCCTCTTCCCAGGCTCCGTCACTAAGTCTCCACCCACATCTGTGTCAGCCATCAGCTCACATCCCAGCGGGCTGTTCCCTGCCCGCACCTGCCTCCACACGCACTCTGAGCAGACCCTGCTCAGCCGTCCACACGCCCACAGGTGATGGTAAGCCTGCACCTGGGCTAGGGCACTGGTGGCTGCACACAGGAAACCTAAACTGGCAGACACGCAACTGGAGGCCCAGTGGCCTTGGCGTTTCACTGGCAGCTCTGAAGCAGGGTATCT